TATAAATTAATTATATGAAAGTGTTATATTATGTTACATTATATATACACATGTTGCATGGAAAATATCAAGGATTGCATGAAAAACTTATTTCGGCGCGTATTTTCACACAAGGAAAATTTTAAGACTTTATTAACTATGTAGTAACTGTACAATGTAGTTTATCGGCAGAAATTTGACACCGCGCAGGGCGTTTACTCTGCGGCATAAATTAATCAGAATCCTAGAACATAGGATCTACATAGGATCTACACCTGATCGAATAGTTTCCTCCAGCTCCCACGGTGCTCTCCAATTAAAAACAAGCAGAACAAAGTCAATTTTACTCGTCCATTTCGATCCTTTGGTCCATGGACTGTTTGTACAAGTGCAGATACTTGGAGCCGTACATCTCCTTGAAGTACGGGCCTCTATAATCCCGATTGGTGCCCATCGCGTAGTCCACCTGGTGTTGGAGAAGCCTGACTTTCCTGAGCTGGTTCTCGTGGTATATGAAATGCAGATACTTCTCGTATTCCTGCTGCGGCGACGGAAAGAAGTAGCGCTGGAAGAATCTTTTAATCGGATGCTGAAACAAATGAGAAACGAAGACTGTTACATTTCTTCGACAGTTGTTTCTCAAAGACATTCGAAACGTTTCGATGAAAAGATATCATTTTTTCCCCACTGGCCTTCCACATTTTACCTGAAGGTACTCCCATTCCTTTGGAACGTAACCCTCGGGGATCTCCTCGAGCGTGGCAGGACCGATGAATACATTAATCAGGGTGATCGCGATGCCAACGGGAATGGCACCGAGCAGAAAGTAAAAGTGAAAATAATCTTTCGTCTTGTGCCACTGGAAACGACTCGGTCGTATGGCGAACGTGCGTTCCTCCGACATGCATCTCGTTTGTCCTAGAAATATAAAAGAGATCTCTTTTAGGTTCGCGCTGGGGAAAAGTGGATTGTAATGAAGTGATCGAGTTGATTGAGGGTATCCGACACTTGAAGACACCGAAAGTACCATGCCGATAAAATTCTAAATGACCAGCTGACAATCACGCATTTATTTTTAAGAATTTATGACTGAATACGTGACGAGAGACGAGATGAAATATTCGATGTTAATATAGAGGTCAATCGGAATCATTGTAATAAATGACATGAACAAATTCGCTATGAATTTTTTCTGGCACGATACTATCACGTGCATCTACATATTATATATGTATGTGTGTGTGTGTGTGTGTGTATAAGATACCAGACTGTCAGAAGTTCTCGAAATGAGAAAAAGTAGTTATCGAAATTAGTGATAAATAATCTGAAAGTCTTTAACGTTTCGCAACTGCGCGTTTTTTATTCAGACGTGCCTCGGTCTATTCCGCGACACGGGACACCTCCGAAAAATCATACTCTAAAACTCTAAATACACGGAATACACTGTGCAGTCGTTGCGTAACAAAACACCATCGGCTTTCGCGGAAGCGTATCAAACAAAGTAACAAGCACTGTCGTCCGACGATCGCGATCGCGAGTGGCCGTGCACGGATAGTCACCGTTCTTCAACAACGACGTTCCGGACCCGCTGTTCTGCAGCAATTTCTGCCTCGCAGCACGCAAAATGCTACTCCACACCGCCATTTTTCTCCGATTGGACGGACACCGAGTGCGCTGCGCGAGGTTTGAAAGTAACGCTGAAAACGCAGGGCGCTTATTTACCGACCAGAAATACAAAAGCTCGCCATTTTATCAGTCCCGTAAGATAACAAAAATTTCTCATTGTATATAATATTAAAATTTAAAAGTTGCAGATTGTAAACGAAATGAAAATATTATAAATAATTTCACGTTAATTTAAATCATGGAAAATCAACATTTAACATTTAAGTGTGAGTGTTGTTGGTGAGATACATTATTGTTATAGTCTATTTTTTTCATTACTTTTGATAAAGTTAAATATTAAAGAGTTAAATAATATTTTGTTATTTTTAACTATCACGTGTGTCGAAATTTTAACCCAAAATAGTATTATTTTACAATAAATAAGTGAAATATTATTTTAACTCCATTGATTTAGTTAAATTAATGACATATTGAGAGTAGAGGAGCAGTGACGACCTACAGGAATAATTAAAAATGACTCAAATTGAATATAATTTGACACTACGATTTTAATTACATACACTGAAAACGCAAGATTAATTTTAGAAGGAGTAATTTTCCTCAATTTTCGACGGTAAAACGTCCATCGTATCTGAAATGATTTTGTTACAGACGTCTCAATATGTTTATGTCAATCCGTAACAATAAACGGTGATACCGCCAATCTAGCCAGGTCAACTGACCAGTTGAACTTGAGAAATGATTGTAAATTACTCAACACTCGGTAATCTATGTGATAGAATCCCAGAAAATTCTGGTTTGTGTCGCCGATAATATATTTTCCGTTGGTAATTTTTATTTATATTATTTTTAGGTTTTTCTCTCTATGCGAGAGGAAAAGAGAAAATATAGGGAGAGGGAAAGATAATGCGAAATGTAACAGCGGTGCGTAATAATTATGTAAATCACGCGACGCACGTGATGAAAAAGCCTTTAAAAGTTTCGCGGAAGGAAAGAAAAAAAATTTCGTCACGCATGTGATTAATACGCGTAACAAGCTCTCAATGTTATTGTTTCGCTCGCGTGCTATAACGCGAAAGCCCTGACGTCAGCGATCGTAATCAAGGCTGGCAAAAAACGCCTCATTTTGGAACTTTGCTCCAAATCGCGCAACGGCACGAGAACGCGAAGAAAAATTAAAAATCGTGGAACGCTATAATTGATTTGCGAGCCAATTTCGTACGTCGCGCGCACGCGAAATGCCGTTTTTATTATTTTTTTATCGCGAATAGGAATGCGAGGCCACGCGATTAGAAATTTTACACTTTTACATAATACGTCGCGTCACCTCCTGAGGCTATTGAAGTGTCGCGCAAAGCTAAACTCACGTATTCATCCTGCGCACAATGGAACTCGCAGCTCGCAGGAGTGCCGCGGCACCGCGGTATCCGTTTTTCACGAGAACAGCTGATACACAATCGGAGGAATTTCAAGCGCGTCGATACGCCGGTGCAAACGCTTCCTATCTTCTCGCATCGATAACGATTAATGTCCACTTACACCAATGTAAATTAACTTTAATCTATGGTTTTTATTTTACTTTTTATTTTTTTTCTAGTTTTAAAAATTAAAAAAAGATAAAAAATAAGGTAAACCGCGATTAAAGTTAATTTACATTGATGGAAATGGACATAAAGGTAGCGGGGTTGCGTAGCGCGATGGTATGTTGCGGAATGAGTCATCGATTTTGCGTGAATCAATATATAAGATAACGGATTAATCTTATATCACGTGGAAATAAATTCGTTACTTCGCAACAATGCGTGAAGGAAAAATTTATTAATCTTATACTGTTAATTTTTTATATGTTTTCTGTTTTTCATTTTTTTCAGCCAAATATCTTTTAGTTTATTATATCAATATGTCGTGATTAAAATTCCATAAAGGATTAACCAGAGGACGTTGCTTTGTCCTGTGAGCAGATGTGAGCAGATTATTCTTTTGGATTCTTTTCAGGATGGTTCAAACTTTAAATCAAGATATCTCAGTTAAATAATGGCAAGTTTCAAAATCTTTTCAATTCCTAAGAAATTTTACCGTCTCAGAAAATCTTTGATTTGTAAAACTAACAATAAGACTGTATATTCCTGTCTTCGAAGATAATAAACCTTCCAAGAAATCTGTCATTGACAAAGGTTCTCGGTTTTAAATGGTTACATAGCATCGAATTACGAGAACAGCCCTTTTTTCGTCTTTCACTCTCAATTCTTTCGAGAGAACAGAAAACAAAGGTGGATCTATTTTCCAGGTAGAACATATGGCATCATGATGACGTTATCATCTGGAGTTAAAACAATAAATTTCAACACACCTTAATATTTAACAGTGTGGTTTTTTCTCGGAACAGAAGAAAGAGATACCTGATCTACGCAAATGTTTATTTTTATTTTAAGTAATGAATAACATTATGATGACATCATCATGATGCCATTGTGAGTTCTATCTGGGTTATCAATGTTATCATGCGAACGCTGGAGAAAGAAGCGTGGATTAGAATAAAAGCAGCGATCAACGACTCCTCATGCGACGACTCTAATTATCTAATCATAATTTTCGGTAAATAAGTCTCAGGGAGACTGCCTGAATTCTCCACAAATCTTTCTACATAATGTCGAAATTATTTAATGGCTGCATATAATTGTGAAATGTGAAGAATTCAACGTTGTTACAATTTTATATTCGGGTATACAATCAGATATTATTATTCAGGTATCTTTCTCCTCTTCCGGAAAAAAAGGTCTTGCTATGCGAACAAAACGAAGGATCGTAGTCTGGAATAATAGACCTGAGATCGGTCCGGTGCCTGACGATTGGCGACGGCGCCGGAGCCTCAGCAACCCTTAGACAATCCATCGTCATCACGTGGACAGTCTGGATAACGATGCGTAATACAGGCGGAATACATGAGCCGAAGGGGAAGGAGCACGTTGGGGAACGAGGCAACGAGGTTTCCGAGGCTCAGTCGTCAGTCGTCTAGCAGTCGCCGAGCAGGGCAGTCCCGGTAGTACGTTCGCCGGTCGATCGTATCGCCACGTCGGGTCGCGTCGCGTCTGCCGCGCTGGTCTCGGGATTCTCCGCGAGAACAATCTCGCCGGAAACACAGAGAGAGGAGTTCCCGGCCGTCTCTCCGGCGTCTTCCTAGCCGGCTTTCGTCCCGTTTCCTGCCCTTCGTGAACGTTCGCGGCGCTCGACGGAGGATCGATTCCTGGAGAGGTGAGTGCTCGGCCGGACAGGCCTGGATTTCACGTGTATTATTTCGGCCGGCAGCTCGAATCTCGCGAGTCTGAAATTTAAAATACCTAAAATACACAATCAGATTTCTTTATTTGCTTAAGAATTTTATGCGTTTTCGATTAATTTGTACATTCTGCGAGGTATTTATTATTATTTGACGAGGAGAAAGGAGCTGCGTTTGCATCACGGCACATTTCGCGGATGATAATTTTAAATTGTTGTCAAATCACCGTTGTCAGGACAACTCGATCGCTTCTGGGCTTCGTTGTCCGCGTTGTTCGCATTTAGAAGAGAATAACCGTACACTCTCGAGTCTCGAAAAGGAAAAGAGGAGAGAAAATAACGTTAAATGCATTCAAAAGGGACAGGCTTACTGACAGCGCGCGTACTTGTTGAAATTATTTACTGCCGGTCCTTTGCGACGTGACGCCACGTCGGGGCGTTGATCCGCAGCAGATCGATCGATTCTCGTGGGTTTCTTGTAAACATTGGGAGCGTAGGTACCACCGAGAGCCGAGCGGGCCACCAGAATGTCTGACGTCGGATCGATTCTGAAACTCGTGGGGAAATTCGATCGCATGTACAGTTTTATTTGCAAAAGAGATAGATTAATGTAAGGACGAATTTAGGGAGAGTCAACGTCTTTACAGCAAACATTTTAACCAAATTATAATTTGAAAATGAATCGCGGAAATATCTGAAAATAAATTGTCGATATATTGTGAGGAAAGGCGACATCCCACTCAAATTATCTTTTTTAAAAATTAATTATATTAAAAGGGAATCATGTAGATAATTCGAGTTCTGCAGCAAGAGCGACTCCTTTCTCTCCGCATTCAAATTTTTACTGAAAACAAATCATGTGAATCGCATTGTTTAAATAATCAGATTTCTGCAGCAAACACGTCGTTTTTTTAACAAATCTGATTCAGTAAGGAAAATAAAGAAATACAAATACAAGATCCCAAAGAAAATATAGAAATGTAATGATATCGATGAATGTGTTTCGGACATATTCTATCGCAGTATATCTCGAGAAGCAAGCGTGAGGAAATAAATAGAACGTTTATCGAATTGTGGTAGAAAGTTTAACTACGTTTACGATACCCAGTCACCTAATAATATCGACTTAACAAAATTAATACCCAGTATAATTCTACGATGTTTACATTGAAATTAAGTGTCGAGACTCGCAGCTTGAATGAATTCGATGTCCGACAGAGATTCCCGACATCTTTTCTTGTTGTACCGTTGCGTCTAAGGCATTCATCAGAAATTCGGAATTATATATCGGTCTTGACCTGGACACGTATTATGGAACTCTTCGGAATGGATTTCGATCGGAATTATTCAACTTTTTCTAGAACATAATAGAAATCTAGTCCGTATATTCACAGTCCGTTCTTATTTCAAGATTGTTTTAAGTAATGTCTTAAGATACGGCTCTGTGATTGGTCCACAACTTATCATCTTAAGACTGTACTTAAGACGATCTTAAATATAAGATCGGATTATAAAGTATGAATAGTGTCTTATAAAATAATTAAACAATTCCGATCAGAATTCACGTGGTACGAGTTGTCGCGCTTAAATTAAGCCTTAAATCGCAATGCTCACGCTTTATTTGTTTCCACCGACAGTTGTGCAATTTGTTGTCTCGTGCAATCGCAACAAGCGACTTTTACGACCTTTTGCCCGCGAAGTGACGATTAACCTGTCTTTCTATAGTGATGGTACGAGAATCTCGTAGGATGACAGGATCGATTGCACCAACATTGTCTATACCGGGTTTACGCAAAGCTGATGGAGCGGCGAATGATATATTTTTTTCGTTATATGTTTTATTGCAAAAGAAAGATTAAGACAAGAAACGTGTTACCTAACTCGTTTCCCTCCTGGCATCATGCGAAGCCGGAAGAGCCTGACCTCGTACGAGGCTAATGATTCTTCCTTTGTCCACGTGTATTGTTTATGTGTATCGTAAGACTGTAATCTCTCGAAGATTTGCTTAACTCAGACTGCGTTGGTGCAATTTTAAACGCATAACCGACGCAATTTTAACCCTTTATCTACGAGTCACATCTGCGCTCGTAGATGCAGCTAATGCCGTTTAACCCGCAATTAAACCCTGCCGATTGATTATACAACTCAAAACGTTGAGATCTATGATAAAAAAATTCAATATCTTTTCTTTTCTCCGGTATAAAAGAAAATTAAAAGGCAATAATTTATAAAAAAAAAAAAATGCAATAAAATAAAATTAAACAGTGATAGATGGACATTTCTGTACGCAGAGGCTCGCAGATTCGAAAAGAGTTAATCCGAATGTTTTATAATAACAATTTGTTCCAAAGTATGACGATTTTCGTTTTCTAAAAGTTTGAATACCTCGCACATCGTGCTCGTCGTGAGAGACAGTTTAGAGGCGCATCGCTTTCACGCTAAGTGCGTCCACGTATTGGAAGTCTTCTCTGAGGAAATACTGAGGAAAGTCGCATATTATCGAGCACCGACTCTTATCCCGGGAATTTGCAGAATTTTTTCTCGAGTTTGTAACACAGCATACGCCAATAAACCGTTCGCCGTTCGCAACACGATGGATCGCTCTCCGCGACAATTACGGTATTTGCCGCGAGTGTTCTATGCACCGCGACGCGCATAAATTATCCGACCAATTCTCTTCTCTTTTTGCGCGCGAGAGAAGAAAAAAATCACGCGGAAGCTTCTCTCGTGCGAGATCTTATTACGAATAGAAGCGACGTTCGTTTATATAATTTTAATCGTGTTACATTGACCTAATTAAACCATTATTATTATTAACGAGATTTTATTTCTGATAAACGCGCCTGACTCCGTCAATCGAAGAGTTATTGTTTCTGTTTCGTGTTCTATTTTACTATCTCGAACAGTTTTATTCTCTCTTGAATTCCGAACGCGATCTCGATCGCCGATGGGTTTCTCGGTTTATTGGCGCTCGCAAGTCGTTGGTGGAAGTCATGCGGGATGAAAGTCGGATAAGACGCGCGCGCGTGCGAGCAATTTAGATGAAATCGCCGGTTAGACGACGGGCGCCGGGCTTCTTCTTCTTCTGGGACCCATGGCGATCGTTAGTCTCCGGAGAAACCCTGATGGCAGGCCGTGCTAGAACGTAGAAGTCACTGAAACGAGCCGGATGCTCGTTTACTCGGCACGAGTTGCACCGATGTATTCGTTTCCTGTGAATAAGTATGTAAAAACAGGCTTCGTGATGGCCCCGAGAAAATGAGCGACTAATGGTAATTACGCGAAATTCGTGATGGTTCCACTTTTCTTTATTATCTTATATCTTTTCATCTCAATTTAATAAACGAAGAAGAGAAACGGCAGAATGTACGAGAGAGAGAGAGAGAGAGAGAGAGAGAGAAAAAAAAGAGAGTGTCTAATGGTAATCACGCAAAATTCGTGGTTCTATTTTTCTTTATTATCTTATATTTTTTTATCTCAATCTAATAATTGAAAAAAAGAAACGGTAAAATGTACAAGAGAGAGAGAGAGAGAGAGAATTGGTGCATGGGAAACGCGTATCTTGCCGATCGCGACGCGCAACGGTGCAAGGAGAAAAATCGGTTTTGCATCCGACAGAAAGTCACTGTTCCGCGCGCGATGCAATGACCACAAAAATTGCTGCGTTGCGTCGCTGTGAGCTGTGACCGAGATATCGGATGGTTTTTGTTTAAAACGTGTAAAATAGTTGTGAGGCAACGTTACTCCGCGGGCCGAGTGGTTACTCAAGAATCGAATTCGTATTTTGTAACTAATCAGAATTCGACAGAAAGACGCTGATATTACACAGTGATAATATTGGGTTGGCCAATAAGTCCGTGCGGTTATTTATAAATAACATTTATAAGTAAAAAACCGCACGGACTTATTGGCCAACCTATTATATCTATATAATAACCCAGGTAGCACATACACGTTTCAGAAATGTTTTATAAGCGTTTTTCCGAAACGTTTTATAAGCGATTTCTAGAAACGTTTCTCATGAGTAAAAATGTCCATTCGAAAAACGTTCGATGGAACGTTTTTTTTCCGATAAAATAACGTTTAAAAAACTATTATAGAAACGTTTTGTTTTAATGATAAAGACATTTTAGATAAAGACATTTAAAATTCCTACTTTTCACGTCTTTTGAACGTGTTTATGACGTCATTGAGACATGCGTGAGAATGTTCTAGAAGCTTTATGCATATATACCATCTATGACGTCTATTCTTTTTCGAAGAAATTCATGAACTGGTGCACATTCGTGCAATAAGTTAAAGTGAAACAAAATATACTTGTCTCACTTTAACTTAATTGCATTACTGATGTGTACTAGTTCAGGAAGGATTCTTCAAAACGGAACACACGTATAAATGTTCTTTCAATGGCCACGTTCAGCAGAACGTTTATTTTGCAACTATTGGAAGTTTTCTAAGCTCAGATTTGGCCGATGACAAATAGATTAAGACCGGTAGGACAAAATTAATTTAAGTAAATAAGTGGATATATGTGCATGGATAAAATGATTTATTTTGTGCAATAATTAGTGCAATATAAATTTAAATGTTTCAAAAAAGGCTATTAAAGCTATAGATAAAGCAAATTATAATTTTGAAAGGAAAAATTTAACAAATAGGTATTTTTATTAACTGTAGAAACGTAAAACATACGTTTCATTAATCATGGTTTCAAAAACATTTTTGTTCAAACGTTTCTTAATGGTTATGGAACTTTACGGTTATGGAACTATGTATACGTTCAAAAAACGTATATGAAACTAATATGTGCTACCTGGGAAATCTATATAATAATGAAAAGGGAATTTATAACTGTTATGTAAATGTTATATGTTTAATGATTTAAGATTTAAGCTATGATTTAATTTTAGGCTATAAAATGTTGGCCAACGTCGGGCAGAGTTGACGAGGGTCTGTTCGTAGGGAGACGCCTACTTGACTAACACTAATCAGCAGGAAGGAGAAGAAGCGCACACACACAATCTACAGACACACGTGTCGACCGATAGTAGTCCGATTGAGAAGAAAGAAGCACGATGGATCCTTATTCATTGAGGTAAATACACATTATCGATAAGACCTTCGTCAAGTAAATTACCGTTGTAAAACATAAAGGAGGACAAATGTGCTTCGATTGTTTCCTTGAATCGATCCTCGTCGATGTTCTTTCCACGATTTATTGATTCTATAACTAGTATAACTAAAATGCGAGCGTTTTAAAATGACAATGACGAGGTGAACGCGAACTTCAATGACGGAGTGAGATTTATTTAGACGATCATCTCGATCTTACGCGAGCATTAAGTTTTCGGATTTCGATGAAGAATGCGAGAGGTTCTTTTATCACAAAGAGGCGATCGCTGACGATTGAGTAAGCAAGCACAAAATCCGTTTCTACAAGAATGATCCATCAAAAACCTTCAACGGGTCCCGCCAGAGTTTTTCCTCGCTCTTTGTCGAGGCGTTCTTTGCTCTTTGTTCCTCTTCTAGCCCGGCCGTTTATACATACCGTGTGGCAAAGTTCTAAAGTACATAGCTGTTCTGTAATCTACTAATATTTTTTTACCTCGACATTTCTTATCTTTAGAAAAAAAGTACGTCCTAAAACATCTAATCTTCGTATTAGTTCGGATGCATTTATCATCTTCCAAGATAGCTTTCTATAAATTTCTTAGTTCTTTTCTTCTTTTCTATTTCTGTGGAAAAGAAATTCCAAAATACCTTCAAGATGCACAATTATTCTATAGCCTGCGCTGACATTTTATTACCCCGACATTTCCTACGTGTATAGAGAAGCATGTCCCCTAAAATATCTTTATATTAGTCCAGATGTGCTTATATAGGTATTCTTTAGAAAGCTTAGACGGTACCCAGAAAAATTCTTTTCTGATCCTTCGACAGGAAGGCACGTCTTTAGATATCTAAGGTACAAAAATTAGGAGATACCTAATTTCTGTTTTATAAATCCCTTGAAATTCTTTCTTTTGTCTTTGCTATAGGAACGGGAATGCATAATATTAATTTAACTTCGAGCACAATTGAATGCGAGAACCTTTGAAGTCGCAAAATAATGTCCATCCTGACAATTATGTAATTTAATGATTATATTATTATATAATTATCAGGATACGATTTCAATACCGGGACAAACATAATAGACGTCTTTAAAACGTAGACGAGCGACTTTACGCCCGCAGCTACTTTAACAGGAAGACTTAAGCCCGGTCTACAATTGCGTAAATGTAGGGTTGTAGGATTAGGAGTAGTAGTAGTCGTGAATCTTGTACAACGGATCAATCTACAATAGAGTAACGATACGTTGTAAACTTGATTAAAGAGTGCAGTGTGTATTTCGAATGTGGACGGTTTAGCACTCTGATTGGTTGGCTCTTACGTTCACATCTGGCGTAGTCGTGAAAGATGAAGTTCAACCATCTTCCACAACACGCTTTACAACCGCAGTACCGTTTTACAACCACGTCGTACAACACTCTTACAACTACTTACAACCACGTTTACGCAATTGTAGAACAGCCTTTACTCGAGAAACCAGTTTCGCTGACGTGAAGCTGAAGTGTCTCGATTTGGCAGCGATATGATTGAAATTGTAATTCGATTCCGTCACGTTCTTTGTAATTGCATAAACAGTTATGCGACGTATAGTTTTAAAATCGCTGTAAAGTTATCGGAGAGTTCTTTTAAACAGTATGTTAAATTGAAATTATTACATCTTGAGAGAAGCAAGATAACTGTATTTTGTTTTTTGCTGACTTAAAAACTTAAAGATCATCGGTGAATATATGAAATTGCTAAATCATCGTCGATAACGCAGAAATTTAAATCGAGTCCTATATATTAAGTTTTAAAGTATGGACATTTTTTTTTTAATTGAGAATAATTATTAGTAACCTTAATAATAAAATATCTGGGATATAAGTCTAATAAATTCTGAATTATACATAAAAATATCGAGATAACTCTGCCGAACAAGATTATAATGAAGATTTAAGTGCTCGATCACGCGTCTCGGATGCACGATAGATAACGTTTTTTCAATTATCGGCAACAGATTTTTGAAATCGCAGTCAAAAGGAGGACTCGTGAACGGCCACTCGATTGCAAGATCGCTCGCCCATTAATCTTTGACCTCGAGTTATATGCGTGTGACGTTAGCTTCTCGTGACAAATTGTCTCTCGAATGTCGTAAAGACGTCGGTGGGGCTACACGCAAGAGCTTGTGGATGTTTCTTCCGCACGCACCCGCGCCATAATCGCGTCGTAATCGCATTCGTGTGCTTTGTTTGCTAGTATCATCAATGAAGAACCGATCAGAGAAATAATCGCTTTCGAATCGGCGACGATTATAAAATTTACATACTCGTCATGAAATAAAAAAAAGATTCCCGGAAATTATTTCAAAATATCCCCCCGCCAGCTTGATCGGCACGAAGAATGTATCACGCGAAATTGATGATGCAACTAGTGCATGATCGTTGCACAGAAGATGATCACAAATCCTGAATCGGAATGAGAGGAAATTGGACTATGAAGTATTCTCGCGACTGTTTCATCGTCGTAAAGCTAGAAACGAATTTGTTTCTCTCGCGAAATCTGTTTCTCTCGCAAATTTGCGATTATTAGGCTGCTGTGCGCTGTTTAACACGAGTTAATTCGTATTTGATGATTTGGCTCATTGTCTTATTAGTTATTACACATTCGTTAACACGTCTATTGACACAAATATTTATTATATTTTGGATTTTGAATAATTTAACATGCATAATTAAAATTGGCGTCGGGAACACTTTTTTCAAATATGGCTTGGCAGTCGATGTGTTAATGTTAATCAATACATGGAAGAGGATAGAGTGCTAGCGATAAACGTGCCGCAGCAAAATGACGCGATATATTATGCCTTATCACGAGCTTGCACTTGATATAATTTGATCGCTTGATATAATCCGATACAAGGACCGTGAATTTCTTGGTTTTACCGATATTGGATCCATTTACGGCAATCGCATCGCGCATATGGCGTTATCGGATAACGAAGTGTAACGTCACCGAAATTCGTAGAATTATCCACGCACTTGTCTCGTACGTGCTGCAAATTATTTATTTTCAATATTAAGAGAAACAAGACCCGTTATGATACACACACACACACACACACACAAACACACACACATCAATTTAGAAGAAAATGCTATTTACGTCTGGATCTCTGGTAGCCTAATAATGTTTAAAATATTGGCCATTCAGCTTGGTAAGTGGCATTTTCTTCTAAATGGATTCATTTATTTTCGTTTCTGCCTCCGTTTCATGGACCTTGACTTTGATTGTTACGTATTAATGTCGAGCAAAATATATTGACCGGAAAACGGTATTGAGGACATATCAACGATTTATTTGCTTGCGATATGTCACGGTAGTATTATCGCTGGGCTTTGTTGAATCAGGGCCAAGGTTAATGACGCGAGTGGTTACGCCAGTTCGAATAACGTGTCTACTTTTAGAAACGAAGCTGTAGGACGATCGCGCGAAAGATCCTTCGACCCCGACCGGCAGTAGCCGCGATTCGCGACGCGGAACTCGCGCGGAATAATAAACACGCCGTTGTCAAAGACCATACCCGTCATTTTGAAGCAATAAAAAAAGACAAGCGCGAGGTGCCGATACGTCTGGCGAGTTGAATGAGCAGAAAATGCCGTAATAAGTCTCGCGAGTGGATATGTACCCCCGATAGCACGCAAAGTACGTAGTCAGTAATTAGACTCCCGACGACAACGTGTAGCGAAGCGAAACGACTCCTCCGCCTTTCGCTCATGCGAAATGTCAAACGGCTCTCGCCACAAGCGCACATTTGTAATAACAATGCAACTGTTGCGGAAATGGGATAAAAAATTTAGACGCTTGATGTATAGACGGGCATAAAAGAATAAAGTGCGCGACTCTGCACTTGTGTCCGCGCAAGTAGGTATGTCTTCATAAATAGAATCAATATTTCGAGAGTCGGCAATTTACTTACGTCTGCCACGTGCCTCGCGGAACGGTCGCGGTGTACATTGTTTTAACTTATGTTAGTGTAACAAATCGCGATGCACACACTTGAATACGGGATGGAGTACATGGCCCATGAATAACAAGTCCGGCCTGGCCTTCTCCCTATTCTTCTGGCTATGCAAAAGCTATCAGAAAAATGGGGGACCGGCATGACAATGAGTTACGCTTGCTCTGAGTATCCAGGTATATTGTCTGCGTGTGGTTCAACAAGTGTAAATCTATAACGAACTTGCTTCGCGAATGTACATTGTTAAATATTATAGAAAGATGAAATTTAAACCAATATCTTGAGTTAAATAACATTTTGTTATTTTTAACTACCATGTGTGCCGGAATTGACTATCTTAACACACAAAACAGTATTATTTTAACTCCATTGGGTTTTAGTTAAATAAGTTAAATTAACATTGTTTTAGTTAAATTAACGATATATTGAGGAACAGTGGCGATCTACAGGAATGGTTAAAAATGACTCAAATTGAGTATAATTTGATACTATGAATTTAACAGTGTAAGTCGATTGGAGGTGTTTTAATTTTATGAACGCGCGATATATGAACGTGAACGTTTACGAGCTTCAAGTTCAGCTCTTGACTAAAAATTGAACATTTCGATATTGAATAATAAAATATCTTGGAATGGTTTTATTCGACACCCTGCATCGTGTACTTTTTATATGACGTTCGCGGAGAAGCTACGAGCGTGACGAAAATAGATCCGTGACGAGGAAATGACGAGCTTAGAATTATTTCAGGAAAGCATTATGCAAAAAAATGATGCATTGCAAAAATTATTGTACTTCCTGACCGTAATCGTATAGTGATTGCGAATGATCGAGCCAGTCATTGTCCGTACGTAATACGGATTTCTTAATGATATAATCGCGATAACAGTTTTATCTCTATCAGATAAGTAAACCAGCTGTTATTCTGAATACGCAACGCAAATACAATTCCGAATAAAGATTATCAAGTTTTGTTGTATACAAATTGGCTATAAACATTTTGCAGCGTGTATAAACATGTATTGCATAATTTTTCACCCTCGCTATATGTATGGCGTAAACAACATCATCTAAAGGAGGATAATTGTTTGAAGTCTCGCGTAAAGATGACCACAGTTTTCTTATGACAAATTCTTGTTATAAGAATCCATACAGCATCATAACAATTGATCAAATTGTCTAATACAAAGTAATTGAATTTAAAAAATATATATATATATATCTGATAAGAAATAGGTAGTTTACAAATAATAGATATATTAAACTGCAATCTGCTGTTTGCCTTCCAGCTTGTTAGAGTCACGGTAAGAAACCAGATTTAACTGCTACTGTGTTAAATGATACGTCAATTAACGCGCGTTAATTCATCAAGTACATAATTGATCTAGCCAAGATCGTCGCTCTATTTTTAACTGAGTACAATTGTCCGCTCAACGAGGACGTTTCCAAGCGCTTCGTTACGTCATGTAAATTAATTTGTTAGCTAAGTGTTCGTGTAAGGAAAATTCACACTTGGAAAAGATTCAGACTTGTTATATGTTATATTCTGTAAAAGAATTAGTACGAATTAAAAAACATATTATTAAAATCGTGAACGATGAACAGTGTTCTGTATTTATATAAAATAAAATAGCAGTGATTTTTTAACAAGCCTGTCGACTAAATTACGAGAAGTGTTTAGCAACGGAAAAAGAAATTGCTGATTAAAAATAATCATTGAGAATAATAAGTTCTCACTTCCGCGACATTTCTTCTTAAATTAAAACAGTATTGATTTACCATGATAAATTAGCGATAAATTACCACGATAAATGAGCCACGGTGCAACACGCTTGGTCCGCGTGATCTCATTGTTATGCGAGACTATCGTTTTGACATTGCCTATGTTTAGCAGACGCAACCAGCGACTTGTGTTTCCTTGCATGGTAAATTAATTGATTAAGGACCGTCGGTCCTATTCTCTGAACTTATATACGGCAATTTAATATCATCGTAAAAAAAAAAAATAATAATTACCCGCATTGTTAAACAAAGTCACAAATCGACAGTGAGAGTTACTCATTTGATATGTGGTTTTCCTTTGCCCGCATATATCTTACGTCAATTTTCTTCCTGACAATTTTTTTGATTGTGAGGATGTAAAATCATTAACTTTAGCGCCGTAATTAAACGAATTTAATTGCAGACAAATACCAGAAAAATAGGTATGATAATGGTATGATATTCGGGAATTGCAGCCGAAACTGAAGCTGTTATGACGGGCACGCTGTTGAACTGTTAGACCATATTCCGGAGAAACCAGTTTTCGTAATTCATATAATAGGTGCCGGGCTCGATGCTTGGGAAACGTCTACGAAAACAGAATCCGATAAACACACGTCCTTACTTAATATAATCGCTGTGCTTCTAAAAGTTACGTGACTTTTTGTACGTCAAGCTGCGAGCGAAATAGCGCCATAAATATAGCGCTGGCTTATTGCAACCTCGTAGCGGCCTAGACATTTTTGCGGAACTGCTTAAAAGCAGTAGAGAAGTGTCGAATAAAAAAACAGAATAGAAAACAGAACAGACAAATATTGATTACAAAAACACAATGTGTATTAATGAAAAACGAGCTATCGCATTTCACCTATGACACACTTATTAATTGAATTTCAACTCGAATTTTAAACTTTACTTTAAATATACAGCATTATCATGTATATAAATATATAATATATATAAATTATATATGAATATTATAATATTTGTTTGCAATATAAAATATTAAATAATCGCATTTGCTGTTGCAATAGAGAATGTTCAAATATCATTTACTGTAACGTTACGACGGGTGTAACGCGGTCTAATTACATCGGTCGAAATTCAATTTGAGGATTACGCATCGCTGTCGACGGCGGATTGCGTTTTGACATACGAAACTCGCGAGAAACCAAAACACACCGGCGCAGCGAGGATCAGCGTTATAAATATTTATGGACTACAGCCGCGGTTTAAATGAATACAGGCGAGAGGCGATACGCGTCGCGCCGTCACTTAAATGGCACGCCGAGACGTCAAATGCACGTGACAAACGGTTGCCGTAAATTGCAACGCGGTCTTGAAAAAGGCGCGAGTCGCAGTAAAAAACAGGAGTAAAAACTCGCGCCGGTACAACGTTATTTCTCGCACGGTTTATTTGAAGATCGATTGATGACGTCCCGTTTTGTTTCAGCGTGGAGCGGGAGGCGTCGAAGAACATCGAAGAGAACGAGCGAGAGTGCTTCAAAGATGCGATTGTTTCGAGCCGGAGTCTCAACAAAGGTTTCGTCGAGCCGACGAATATTAGAAATGCCATCCGAGAGGTAGGACCAATTATTATCGGCGTTATCTCATCACGGATAATTATTTCTTCTTACTTTAGGGCGGTAGCATGTTTTCCATGCGGAAAATGCTCTCCGAAGGCTGTGTCCTTCTAATTGATGTGAAAATGCAGTAAATTACGTTTAGTAACACATTTTTTCGCATTTTGATGAATAATTTTATTTTTAAAAATGATAAGATCTCTTGAGAGTAATTTTTCAAAAATTTAGAGAAATTATAGTGAAAAGATATTCAGATAAAAAAATTCGTTTGGAAGAGAAAGTGTTCTTGTTTGCTCATGTTTCGCGGAGCTTAAGAGGATCGTAGAAAAGTAGCGAGCCAAGGCGAAATGTTCATTTCGCGGAAGCTGTGCACGTCGCTTTTGAACCTTCGCAGATCGCTGCTTGCATCGTCGCTGCGTCTTTCCACATAGCGGTGGGCTTCACCATGGCGTATTCAGCGACTCTCATTCCTCATTTGGAGAAGGAAGACGCGAAGTTGCATGCCACGAAGGAGCAAACTTCCTGGATAGGTGAGATAGCACAAATATGTGGCGTATATGCGCGGCAATAAATATACGAAGGCGATAACAGCGAAAGATATCGCATTATTCCGTGAAAGAGATTACGCGCGTAATATTAATTACGAATTACGATAACTACCCTGATCATTCCCTTCCGTGAATAATATATTCATTAGTACTCGAAACGATAACGACGCGAAATAATCTATTGTTATGTAAATGTTATCGTAAATGTATACGTATATCGTAAAATAGAGTATTGTAAATACAGCGTCAGATATCGCGCGATCATTACTGATATCTCGTTGACAGTTAGCTATCTTCCCTATATCGATCAAGTGTATCGTCACGAGAGTAGACGTATTACGTAAAAGTTGTTGCAATTATCGGAAGAAAACCGTACGTGCACGCCGTGCGTGTCTGTTGCCTGATCGATCATTGTGCTCTGATTAAATTCGCGTTACGCAAGATCAATCTATTGCCCATCGGCATTGCAATCTTCTCGCGACAACGGAAGATTGTTTTCTTACTATAGATAAACTTTCAATCTAGAATGCCGATGATCGTAGTCGACAATGTTAATCGAGGTCTCTTATGTTATTCGAATATGTAATTTTATTGAATCGTATGTAAATAATTAAAAATGGCTCTACGACCTACGACTAGTCGGGAAAAATACAGGTAATTTTCATAAATGATCGCCTGGGGTGATTTTTATATTTCAGTATCGAAAAAATCAAGTTTATATCACAGTAATTTTTATGTATTTCTTTCGTTTTTTAAATATTTTTTTTGTTTCTCCTTTATGCTTTTTTTTTAGAAAATGTTGAGTAAATCTATATACATATTGTCCTCAAATACTAACAAATTATAAAACAATCAAAAGTATGCAATATGTAATTAATAACAATAACTTTTAATTGGGGTGTAAAAATCACCCCAGGTAACCATTTATGAAAAAAAATCAGGCGCCCGTTTTCGGGTTAATTAGTTCTGTATTATTGAAAACTGTGCAATTCGAGACCACAATTCGTATAAAATTGAGCATTTAGTTCCAAGGAATTTAAAAAAAAAACAACTCTAATCCTGCATCTACGTGCATTTATTTTATTGTGTGACCATGTTATTCCAACTTCATGAAACTCAAGTACCGTGTTGTTCGACAGTTATCTTATATTCTCTTTACGGTGTAAAAATACGCTGGAGCTAATAACGCGAGATATAACGAGAATAAGTTGGAATTAAGGACTAACAATAAGTAAAATAAATAAAATCGATCCTGTTACTTTCAGCCAGTTTGGCCGTGGTGAGCGCGCCGATTGGTGCGTTATTAGGGGGCTTCCTGATGGAGACGTTCGGTCGATTGAGAACCCTGCAGATCGGCGCGATTCCTTCCGTAATCGGTTGGATCCTCATCGCCACGTCGATAAATATACCAATGTTGCTGGTGGGTCGTTTGTTAACCGGATTAGCGACCGCTCTGGCGACCTCGCCAGCGATCGTCTACATCACCGAAGTAGCCAGGCCGGAGCTGCGCGGCTCCTTGATCTCGTTCGGGCCGACGCTGGCGTCGTTCGGCATGGTGTTGTGTTATCTAAAGGGTGCTTATTTACCATGGGAACTCGTCGCCTGGCTCAGCCTCATCTACTCGATCGGGCCCATCGTGCTGGTGCAACTGTTTGTGCCAGAGTCGCCAGTTTGGCTCGTATCAAAGGGCCGCATCGACGACGCCAAGAAGTCTCTGGAATGGTAAATCCAATCTGGTTAATTAAATGACAACATTTTTACCGTAGACATATATACGGAGCATAAGCTCAGCGGGGGGGACAGATTCGTGGTAAGGGGAACATACCTATATTCGGTTATCAAACGAAGACAGAGCGATGCTGGTGCCGGGTGCGCACTACTGCACTGTGCACCATGCACCCAGCATCGCTCCCAAGCAGTGAGCCCAGCGCTGATGTGAGCCGAACGCAGCTGAAAACGATCGAAGGCCTGGATATTCCGACTCTTTCCCGCTAAATCTTACACACCCGGACACCCCTCGCCTATAGTGGCACCTTATCCACGTTATGCTTCGTCTATATATATGTCTATGATTCTTACAGATTACAGACCTTAAATAGCAAAACTGACAATTACTAATGATCACTCTCGCTTCTCATTTGAGAAAACCAATAGGATTTACTGATTAACTTAAATGCTCTTTGAAATTAATTTTTAAAGCTTTCTAAGACTCTGTAATGTTCGCGATTTTCCTATTCTTAATATACGGGTAAATAATTGACAACTCTAATGTCGTTTGTAGGCTTTACAAGAACGAGATATCGGAAAGCAAGACATCGGTGGCCGAGGCGCAATTTATCAATATTATGAAGGAGAACGAAATTAAATTAAACGAGCAAAGGCGGAGCAAACACAGCAGCGCGTCCAATAAATGGCGGGGATTTCTTAAGCCGACCGGATGGAAACCCATGTCGATACTCTTCCTGCTTTTCACGTTTCAACAGTTCTCCGGAATTTACATCACGCTGTTCTACGCAGTGACTTGGTTTCAAGTAATTAAAAAATACCTGTTTATATATCTAATCTATATATTATATATCTTGCTCTCTCGTATTTTGCAAATTGTTAAAGTAAATATAAGAGGCAAGTAAGAGCCAACGCCGACGGTGAAGCGAAATTATATAACACAATAAGGTACATCTGTTAAAACTACGATTACAAACGTTTCGGTCTTAGTTTAGACCCTCTTCAGTGTATACAAAAATATGGGATGCAGTAACGCTTTGTTGTAATCGTAGTTTTAAAAGATTTACCTTACTGTATTATATAATTTTATGCAACACGTGCATGGAAAGTGCCCCATTACGCACGCTACGCGTGCGTGATAGACTACTTTCCAGGCACTTGCAACATAAAATAGGGAGTGTAAGTCGTGTGTAATTTTCATCTTACGACACTTGTTACACAAATAATTATTGCTTCACCATCAGCATTGGTTCTTTATTTACCTCTTATATTTACGAGCCTTATTTTTTGTAAATTGTATAGTTTGTAAATTGTATTCAATCGTGATTTAAATACACGTAGTGATATTTAATTATTTATTAATGATCGATTTGTATAAACTGGTAGTGGATACAGTAAGACTATAATAGGTATCGAATTTTTTACAATTTTCAGGAAGTAGGTGCGGGGGTGGATGAATACATAGCGTCAATTTTAGTGGGCCTGACGCGTTTTCTGTGCTCCATGGTGAACACTTGGCTGCTGAGGCGATATAAAAGACGACCGTTGTGCATAATATCGTCCTTCGGGATGGCTGTGTGCATGATCGTCTCCGGTTACTTCACGCTGAACATCAAGAACGGCGATCGCAGCGGGTACTGGGTGAGTTTCGAGGATTATCCCTCGTATGATTTTGTGAGATTTAATTTTTAAAGACTCGCGAGAAAATGTGACGTGATGTTCGCAGGTACCGGTGGCGTGTCTGTTACTTTACGTGTGCACGTCGATGATCGGGATGCTGACTATTCCGTGGACCATGACGGCGGAATTGTTCCCGACCGAAATCCGCGGAATCGCCCATTCCATCAGCTATTCCATGGCGAATCTGCTCATGTTCGCCGCGTTGCAAAGCTACAGAAGCTTGCAAGCTTTTCTGGGAGGTACAATATTCGAAATATTTATATTTTGTATAATTATCATACCGTGATATATATCTTATCTGTCTCTTTCACATTCCAATTACTTTCGTATACCTTTATATTTCTATTTTGTATGCAATTCTTTTTTATTTTTTCTTTAAATCTTATCTGAATCCTTTTACTCATTATGTAAAATCCAAACGACAAAAATTTATAGAATCTTGTATTTCAAAACAATTTGACAAACTTGATTAAGGAAATTCTTTTGTTTCAAGGTTCATATGCGGTACAATGGTTCTTCGCTGGCGTTTCTGTAGGAGCAGCTATTTTCGTGTGGCTACTGCTGCCGGAGACGCACGGGAAGAAGCTTTCGGAGATCGAGGAGTACTTTCACAACAATTTTCTGGCCTTGGGAGCGAAAAAGAAGGACAGAAGGCGACGAGCCGCGAGAAGGGCTCAGCAAAACGCGAAATCGCCGGCGACCGAGCCACTCAATCCAAAAACCGTACAGAATGTTTAAGCTCTCTCTCTCTCTCTCTCTCTCTCTCTCT